CCTAAACCCTAAAACCCTAAACCCTAAACCCTAAAACCCTAAACCCTAAAACCCTAAACCCTAAACCGGGAGAACTAGGCTCGTCGCTTGGGTTCACGGAAACAACATCTTCCAATCTTCCAGCTGCCGTCGGTAGGCTATCTATAGCCTGGAATTCATTTGGGAGTTTCCGAGAATAAGGGTACCTTATTCTGGGGTCCTTATAATAAGGATCCTACTATTTAGGGTACTATGTTAGGTCCCGATTTTCGGAAACCCCCATTTGAGTGTGCAGAAGTTTGGTCCTAAAATCCTAAACCCTAAACCCTATGTGAGAGACCTGCCGTAGGGCCCTTAATATTTACAGTGTTCTGGGGTTCGCTGTACGACCATTAGTAACTGCGTGGGAACTATAAGCATACGTCCGAAATGCGCGACCTCCATAGTACCTCTGTTCTTACTTATACCTATGTTTTTGTCTACTTGTAAGCGACCTCTGTAATACCTGTGTGATGGTGCAAGGTTTCGAGCTGGGTGGGATCGAGAGTTCCGTGCTCATGATGGGCCCGATCAAGGTGTAGGGTTTACGGTTCAGGAGAAGCTCCTGCAAAACACCATACCCTAAACCCTAAACCCTACACCTTGATGAGATGAAGAACGAATATTCATGTTAGAGCAACGGCTCCGGCTCCGGACGCCGGGGTGCAGTTGTGCTCCTGGTTGGGACTAAAAGGTGAGAGTGGCGTCTTGGGAGTTAGGGCGGAGCAAGGGTCAGTGCTTCAGAGTGGGGAGCAAGATTTTTTTGCTACAGATCTAGATCCACATCTGAGTCATCCGAGCATCAAGCTCACGGATATCGCTATGTCTGCAGACCGAGCAGCACATCAGCGTCGTGAAGTACGTTGTTGTAGTCGTGAAAGTGGTGGTCGTGGAAGTTGTGTATGAGGTCTTCGTGCGAGTAGTGGACGTCCTGGAAGTCCCCAGAGAGCCCAATATCCCTTAATTCAGGAATACGTTTCAATCATAATGAAGCCGCTTTTTTGGTTTAAGGTATATTATGGTATATTCCTTAATTATGGAATACAGTTCAAACCACAAGATGAAGCCACTTTGAATTTGAAGGCACATTCCGTCCAGAAGGGCTATTCAACTCTCTGGGTAGAGAAAATCCAAAACCAAAGGCTTATAAGGTGCATGGCCCGAGCCCCTACACGCAAAATCGGAATTCGGAAACGTAGGGCTTGGAGATCAAAGTTTAGGGTTTAAGGTTTAGGGTTTAGGGTTTAGGGTTTAGGGTTTAGGGTTTAGAGTTTAGAGTTTAAGGTTTAGGGTTTAGGGTTGATTGAACTCCACAGGTCTTCAAAGCCTCGTGTCCAAGACCCGCGATAGGGCCCAAACCCTGAACCAGAAGCTTGGGGGGGGGTGTTAGAGTTTAGGGTTTAGGGTTTAGGGTGTAGGGTTAAGGGTCTAGGGTTTAGGGTCTAGAGGTAAGGGTTTAGGGAGAACCTGCCAGAAGGGTACCGTGACAGCTATAAACAAGCTCGCGAAAGCCCCCTTCGAGTAAGGCTTAGGGGGTTTAGAGTTTAGGGTTTAAGGTTTAGGGGTTTAGGGTTCAGGGTTTAGGATTATAGGGTTTTAAGGATATGGGCTATAGGGTTTCATAGGGTGTTGATCTCTTAGGGGCGTTTAGGGTCCGGGGTTCCGGCTTGGCTTCGGGCTTGGGGTCTGAGCCGAAGACCCAGCAGAAGGGAAGAAGGGAGCCCTTGTTGTCAAGACTCCCGCAGCGAAGGTTTAGGGTTTAGGGTTTAGGGTTGCGTGCTCTGAATCCTGTCTTTGTAGCAATATCTGAAGGGCGTTCAGGATTTATAATCCTAGGTTGTAGACTTTGAACATCTCTAAACCCAAATGCCGGCAACCCTAAACCGCAACCCCTGAACCCCACAGCCCCCGACCCTGGGTTACCTTTGGCCCCAAAGTACCCAAATAGGGACCACTTTAAGGCCAAAGTATATACTATTTGGGTACACGGACCCTTATGGTCAGGAATATCATGGAGTCACTCCTCAAAACATTTGAGGAAACCTTTTGGGGCCTAGGGTTTGGGCTCTTGGCTTTAGAGCTATGAACAAACCTACACCAACCCCCCAGCGAGACCCCAGAGAACCGACCTTCTTAAGGACTTATATATATATATATAAGCAACTCATAATGAGCGGCCCAAAAAGGGTTTAGGGGAGGAGGTTCTTAAGGGTCCAGGTAAACCCTAAGCCCTAAACTCTACTTCTGAAACTTTTAGCCCGGCGGTCGTGTCTGATCTCGAGGTGGTAGAGACAGTGTCAGTTGTAGATGTGGTCGTCGAGCTGCTAGATGTCGACCTATAGGGTTTAGGGTTTAGGAATTCGGGCCCTTGGGTTTTGGGATTTAGGGTTTAGGATTTCGGGCCCTTGGGTTTTGGGATTTAGAGTTTAGGATTTCGGGCCCCTGGGTTGGGGATTTGGGGTTTAGTGCGGAGTTTCAGAACAACGAAATTCCCGTAAGTAGCGACGGGGTCCCCTACTTCCTTATAGTCACATGCTTGGGAGCTTCAGAAACTGAGAATTCGCAGTCATAGAAACGAAGCTGTACTACTTGCACTACTTCTTCGGATTACATCCATACAGGCCCTAAACACTAAAGCCCTAACTAAACCCTAAACCCTAAACCCTCACCCAAGACTCCACCAGATCAGGCTAAGGGTATGATCCTTTCGGAGAACCAGGGTTCTAGGGTAGGGGCCTTAATGCTTAGAATAGGTTTTCTGGGGCCCATGATACTATACTTATCACAAGGAACCCCCAAAATAATATAGTTAGAGGAAACCACAGGTGGGGAGTTTAGGGTATATAGGGCTTCTATCAGGCTTCTATAAGGTAACTACCCACCTGACAATGTCCTAGATATAGGTAACTGTTGTGGCCCCTACATGAGGGTTGGCTTTTCGAGAAGCTTATGGGTCTGGGTTGGGGATCCGCTTTTCGGGTTTAGGGTTTAGGGGTTTGGGGAGATTCAGTCTAAGCTTAGGGCCTGCGCTTGGAGGGTCAGGGGACTTAGTAAGTCGGCTATAAGTAGGGATGTAACTGGGAGAACTCCAGTCAGGGTACTTATAACCCTAAACCCTAAACCCTTAACTTATAACCTACTTACCAAGTCCCCTCGACCTCCAGGCCGGCGTAAAGTCTTGGGTTGGAGTTCAGGGTGATTTTAGGTCGGTTGTCGGAATGAACGCTGAGGGCACTCTAGTCCTCCAAGCCCTTCCCCTAAGGCTCCATGTACCCATATAGTATATACTTAACCCGAAAGTACCTATATAGGAACCCCTTTAATGCCTAAGTATATACTATATGGGTACATGGAGCCTTTGGGTTCGCACATCAAGGCATCTGGCGTTAGGATTTGCGGTTTGGGGCGTAGGGTTTAGAGCTTAAGTTTCTAGATTCTGGTACCACGCAAGAGCTGCGGTTGTCCTATATCGTGCTATAAACCCTAAACCCTAAACCCTAAACCCTAAGTGATCATCAACTCCTCTAGTCCCCCAAACTACCAAGCTGCAAAACTCAGTCCTCAACCTGACCCTGAGGCTCTGGGGACTCATATTTTAAGGCTTTTGGGCCCAAAAACCATACTATACAAGGCTTTTGGGCTATTTTGAGCCTTAGGGTGAGTAACTAAACTTTGAGTACTTCAGGTCAATAAGGCCTCTGTTGTGCGTGCTGAAACCGGAACCCCGGATGGCAGCCCTGTGCCCCTAATAATTAGAATAGGGTTTTGGGAGCAATTATACTATAATTCTGATAAGGAACCACCAGAAGTGTTGGTACTTATTTAGGTTAGGCCAAATGTCACCTAACCTTGGTATGGTTGGCTCCAACTTTGCCCTCTCCTTCAATAGCCAAGTCCCAAAAAGGCCGAGCCTGCGTATCTGGACCCCAGACCAATATAGGCTCAGGAATTATGGTTTTTCCAGAAGCTTACCCCCTCCCCAACAAACTCGCTCCTCCAAAAAGAAACAAACGGCCGAGAGTCGTTGCCGTCGTTCCGGTCACGCTCGTAGTGGTTTGCGTCTCGGAAGTAGAGGTGGCAGATATGGTGGTCGTGGTGCTGGATGCAGATGTCGACGTGGTTGATGACGTAGTGGTACTAGAAGATGTGGCAGTTGTGGTGCCTTGAGCCATAAACCCTAAACCCTGAACCATAAACCCTAAACCCTAAACCCCAAACCCTGAACCCTAAACCCTTACTTCGCTCTCCAAGGGTTCTGGGGAGGACTGTAGGGTTGAGGACAGGCAGCTCGGATCCCAAAAAGGGTCCAATGTACCTATATGGCCAAAAAGGAAACTACAGGTGGGGAGTTTACGGTACATAGGGCTTCTATAAGGCTTCCAGAAGGTACTGTATATAGATCTTCTATAAGGCTCCTATAACGGTAACTACCCACCTGAAAATGTCGTAGATAGAGTGGAACTCAAAGGGCCCTATGTACTGTGATGGGGGATACCTTCCCTACATCATACTAGTAGTTCTTAATTAGAAAAACCCTAAATTCTACTTTATAGGTACATAGGACCTGTTGGGGAATGTAGGGTTTCTATATTCGGAACTACGAGTATGATTTGGGAAAGTATCCCCTGCAACAGTACATAGGACCCTTTGGGAATGTCACTGAGCTTAAAAGTCCCTGATGACCACGAACCCTACTGTTTTCGGGTTTAGGGTTTAAGGTCTAGGGATGGGTCGTCTCAGTTGAAATTCGCCCAACCCTGCACCCTAAACCCTAAACCAACCCTAAACCCAAATTACCCTAAGCTCAAAACAGCCTACATTCTAGACCCAGAACCACTCAAAGCCTTTAGACTTCAGACCCTTTTGGGAACCCGACCTACTAAGAAACACAAAAAAAAACAACTATAACACTGATTGCACAATACTAATCCCCTAACAACCATCCAAAAGCTGACACAACAGTGGGACCCCTTCTGAGGCGCTTGTCGTGCTGGATGTTGCTGACTGGGTAGTCGAGGATGTACTGGAGGTGGAGGAACTGGTGAGTGTTGTGACCTTGGCGTTCAGTTTACTCAGGGGCTGAGTACCCGAGCCCAGAAAAGGTTAACCTTTTCAATTATGGTAGGATTATATCAACACCAAAAGGTTAAAGGTTACCTACTCAGCCACTAAGTTTATGTTCCACAGCTTCCGGATCGCGGTGTTACCTATAGTCTCCATTGTAGTTGGTGTTTGGGGTTACTTTGGGGATCCTTAATTCCCCAACAGCGGAAACGCTTATGGGGTCTACAATCTGTAAAGCAAAGGCGCGGTGACCAAGGTTCGGATTACCGGCTTCCGAGAGCGTAAGGGATGTGTGCGCGCCTACTGTAAAAACTGGCTCTCGTTGTCCGCAAGCAAAGGCGCGGTGACAAAGGTTCGGATTACCG